TTTAGTACTTGAAATATCTCATTCCAGGCTCTCCTTGCCCCAAGGGTTTGTGTTGAAAAGTCTGCTGAGATTCTGATGGGCTTTCCTTTGTATGTGATTTGTTTCTTTTCTCTTACCACTTGTAGTATTTTATTCTTCTGTTGGGTTCCTGGGATCTTGATTATTATATGTCTAGGTGTAGATTTTTTTGATTGTAGCTAGTTGGGGTCCTATATGCCTCAGTTATCTGAATGTCAAATTCTTCCCCTCTGTGTGGGAAGTTTTCTGTCATTAATTCTGCAAACAGCTTTTTAAAGTCATTTGTATTTTCTCCTGCTACTTCATGTATTCCTATCAGCCTTATGTTATTCTTCTTTGCATCATCTAGGAATTGTTGAATTGATTTCTCATTATCTCTTACTGTTTATAAGAGACCTCTCTTTTCATGGTCACTGACTGCAATCTTATCTTCTATATCTGAGAGCCTATCTTGGTATTCTTTTATTCTGTTGCATGCACTTTCAATAGAGTGTTTAATCTCCTGGGTCTCTGTTTGAATCTGTTTTATGGATTGCATTTCTTTCCTGTGTTGGGCATTTATTTTTTCCATTTCTTTCTTATGCTGGGCCTTCATGGCTTCTATCATGGTCCTGAGCTCATCTATTTTTTTGTCAGTTTCTGCTCTAGTGTCTCGAATCACGACTTCCATTTTGCTCACTATCTCTGTGGTTATCTGGGAAATTATTTCTGTTTTGAATTTTTCTAGAGCCTGATTGATCTGTTCAAAATTAGGTTTTGTTGCTTTACTGAAATTTAATTATTTTAAAGTAAAATGTAGATTTAATTAAACATAAATCAAACTATAATTACAATTTTAAAATTTCATATGTATTATCAAGGCATCAGTTTGTTTTCTCCTGTTTTTCCATTCCACCTAACATTGTTCACATTTATATTTTTATTACTTATATAAGATTGATCTTTTTAGGGTTAAAAATGTTTTGTAAAACTTAATGATTTTCTAAGAAACCATTTTATCTTAACTTCTCCATTGAGAATTTTTATGCAAAATTATTTAGGTCACTCTAATCAGTTTAAAATCAATTATTTAAATCATCACAGGAGGTATTAAACTTGTTATCAGTTTTTTATTGTGATTTAAAAGTCTCTGACATTCCTCCAGCCACCTTCCTTATATTTCTAGACCATTTTCTTTTTTCTACTCTCTGACAAGAACAATTTATTTCTGTATGGGGGTCCCTTATATATACCAGTTTCCTGTATATTTGGCCCAAAGATGTTAGTTCCTTTACTTTTTTATTACATGTGAATATTAAAATTCAAATCATGTAGCTGATAGAACTCAAACCCTACCACACTTTCATCTAAGGGCAGAAAAATGAACTTTATTCAAAAATGATCATTTTGTAGGTCACTTAACCTTTACTCAAGGAAGTAAATGTTGTATCCCGTTTAGGCAGCTGGAGTTACAAAACCATAATGTACAGTTCTTATT